GTAGGCTCAGGCCCATAACTCTTCTTATTAGGTCACAGTCATCTTTAAGCTCAGGGGTAGGCTTCGCCCACATATCTTCTTTTTGGGCCCAGGCCTCTTCAGTATCAGGGATAGGCCCAGGAACACATCTCTTCTGGTTGGACACAGGCCGCGTTAGAGTCATGAATCCACCCAGGCCCACACCTTTTTTTGTTAGGGCCCAGGTCACTTCAGTGTCAGGGATAGAGCCAGGCCCACATCTCTTCTTGTTGGGGCCCAGGCCTCTACAGAATCAGGGATAGGCCCAGGCCTCTTCAGGGTCTGGGGTAGGCCCAGGCCCACATCTCTTCTTGTTGGGGTCCAAACCTCTTCAGGATCAGGAGTTGGCTCACCCAGGTTTCTTTGGTATGGGCCCAGGCCTCTTCAAGGTTAGGAGTAGGAGCAGGTCTGAATCTCTTCTTGTTTATGCTAAGGCCTCTTCAGAATCAGGAATAGGCCCAGGCCCACGTCTCTTCTTGTTGGGGCCCAGGCCTCTTCAGGGTCTGGGGTAGGCCCAGGCCCACATCTCTTCTTGTTCGGGCCCACGCCTCTTCAGGGTCAGGAGTAGGCCCAGGCCCACATCTCCTCTTGTTGGGGCCCGGGCCTCTTCAGGATCAGGGGTAGACCCAGGCCCACACATCTTCTTGTTGGGGCCCAGGCCTCTACAGAATCTGGGATAGGCCCAGGCCCAAATCTCTTCTTGTTTGTGCCCAGGCCTCTTCAGGGACTGGGATATGCCCAGGCCCATGCCTCCTCTTTTTAGGACCTCGGCTTCTTCAGGGTCAGTGGTAGGCCCAGGCCTACACCTCTTTTGTTTGGGCCCAGGCCTCTTCATGGTCTGGGGTAGGCTCAGGCCCATACCTCTTCTTATTAGGGCCCAGTAGTCTTTAGGCTCAGGGGTAGGCTTCACCCACATATCTTCTTGTTGGGCTCAGGTCTCTTCAGGATCAGGAGTAGGCCCACGCCCTCATCTCTTCATGTTGGGGCCCGGGCCTCTTCAGGATCAGGGGTAGGCCCAGGCCCACATCTCTTCTTGTTGGGTCAGGTGTCTTCAGGGTCAGGGATAAGCCTGACCCATACCTCTCTTGTTGGACCCAGGCCTCTTCAGGTTCAGGGATTAGCCCAGGCCCATATCTCTCTTCATTTTGGGCCCTTGCCAATTATAGCAATATGCTTCATGGTTAGGAGTCATATCAGCAGCATATTGCTTTTTGCATTTTGCTAGGCCTCTCAGGATCAAGCTCAGGCTCACTCACACTATTTTTTTAATTTCCCAAGGCCTCTTTCATTTGATCCATGTTGGCATGCCTATGTATCTTATTATTGAGCCTCTGGCCATCCTCTGCGTCAAACATACCAGTTTCTTTACAGCTGGTGTAGTGTATCATTCTGAGTTCTTGTATGTCAAAACTTACGTTTACATTAGTATTCGTATATGGTCATCATTTCTGAAAAGAAAGAAAAAACAAAACAATAAATAGACTTGTTGATAATTGTAGAGGATAATATTGGTGTTTTTATGGCATGTCATTGACCTGTCCTCAGGGAAACATGCACAGACACAGACATCTATAAACTACTATCCAGATGATACAAATTTACATTATACAAGTAGAAAGATGAAATATATAGGGAAGAAAGTTAGAAAAGACTTTCATGTTGCACAGCTCACTTGCCATGTGGTGGCAACTGCCCATGAACTCATGTGGAATGTTTGGTACTTCTACATTGTGAGACCCTCAAGTGAGTCCCATCAAGACATCATGCTGCATTTGCTTCCTGTGGTACCGTCCATGAAGGAATATCACAGGGAGTTACAATAGAGGGTAGTCCTCTGTGTTTCTTGAGGATGCCTTGCTATTGGAGGCTGTGTAGATCTTCACAAGGCCTCTTTCCCTGATTTGGATATGGTATCTTGTCCCTGTATGTCATGCATGGCCAGGCTCTGTGAGGATCTCTTTCTGGTCCTTGAATCACAATTCTTCTGAAGATCACATCTGTCTTGTCCATCAAAACCCCTCAGACACTGAATTGTGCCTTCAAAACCCCTTTCCAGAAATCTCCCTGCCTACTACATAAACTGGTGTGAGATCACTTCTTCACCTAAAGAATTTTCTGCAGTCACTCACCTGAAATGCATCCCTTCCCACATTCTCCTGGTTCAAATCCCTGCCTACTCTCACTCTGCTGCCCTTAGACATAGGGCTCACCTTTAACCATGACAGTGACCCTGTGAGGTCACAGAGGCCAGGTCTCACTGTTTGGGAAATCTCAAGGGCTGTCCAGGCGCATGGGTACATTTTGGGCTAGTACTTATGGGAAGTATCTGAAGGCATCTTTTATGACCATTTCATGGGAAGAAGCTCAGATCCAGGCCTCCTCTTTCTCTAGGGAACTTTACCCCTGGGAAGAGCAAGTCCAGTGGGGATGAGGTGTGCACACTCAGTCCCGATGTGCAAAGTGTAATTCTTGGTTTATCATTTCTGATGCCCTGGTTATCAGCAAGTTTCTCTCATCATGAAACTTAGAGTGTGCCATCTTCTGGGCCCTGGGTACCAAACTGATTGATAAATTGTCCTGCAACCTGTTCCTTCACCACCATTAAACCCAGCTTGAAGTAGGATTGCCCAGAAAGCAGGGTGTCATGAAATTTCTGTACCTGGACGTGCAATGGCAGTCGATGACCTCTGAGAGCATCACTCACTGGAGAACAGCACAACAGCAGAACTTCATCCTGTACCAGTCTTCAGCACAGACTGGGGGTGGCCATCCCTTGCATGCTGGTCTATTGTGGCCATTCAAACAGGAATGGATCCTTCTTCATTACCTATGTTGGGTGCTGAGTCCTGGCCTAGAGACACCTGTACAGCTTCATCTTAAGGCCTCTCTCCCTGGTGAGACGAGGGGTGTCTCTCCTTGTGGTCTTGAGGGACCAGTCCCACTGTGATAAGATGTCTGACCCCTGATCTTTCTAGTTCTTAGGATGAGCTGACCTCAGGCAGGAACATTTCAATGACCTCACTATGTTTCATTCTCCTCATTTAAGGCCTCAATGAAGAAGTACCCCACACTGACTGAGTCACTCACACGATGAATTTCAGGCAACATCCGTCCCAGAAAACAGCCCAAACTTACCTAGACACTTGGACCTGCTTCAAATCCCGGCCCTCCTTGGTGGACTCTGTGTTGCTCCAGTCAAAGAACACTGGTGTTTCTGCAGCAGATTTACCTGTGACATCACAGAGGCCTCACCTCACTTCATTCTGAGAATCCCAAAGGGCATCCCGGCCTCAGTTACCTCCCAGCTTGGCCCATCCTTAGTCTCTCCCAAACTATGTCAAGCATCCTTGGAAACACATAGATTGGGAAAGTAGCTGGAAGTGTTTCACAGAGACCCCTCCATGGGAATCACATACATCTTGTGGCAGCCCTCCATCTCTTCTGAGGTCACTGCATCCTTGAGAGGAGACACACAGTTGACAGTGCTGCTTCCTCATCTCAAATGTCTGAACTCACCCTCTGTCTCAGCATCTCAGATTCTCCATAGGCATCATGGTTTATTACTGGCACGCACCTGCGGGGTGCCATCTTCTGCGTCTTACATCTGGCTCCAAATGTAACCATACCTCATTTCCTATTTTCCCTCTGCACCACTAATCTTTTAGCTTGTGGTGGGTTATTAGCTGAGTATTAGGCTGCAAGGCCAGTGGCCCTTAGTTTTAGAGGGAACAGTCTGAAAATATATAGATCAGTAGTGAATAAATACACAGCATTCACGAGCCACAATAGAATGAATTGCAGACAGAGCCCAGAATCAGGTGTGAGAATCCTGGGAGCACATGCTTTCACTTGTCCTATCCTCAGTGGACCTTCCACCTGAATAACTGTATTTGTGAATAATCGTTCTGTCTAGATATGTCTCAACCTCTGTCCACATGCACTTGCAGTTTATGCAGTGTGGGGAGCTCATTCTGTTACCTGCTCTTTCCTGGGACTCTGTCAAGTCCATGCTTCCCCTGTGCAGGAGCTGCAGTCTCTCAACCACCAGGTTTCCAGTGTTTCTCATGATGGGGTGGTGGGTGTAAAACATGACTGACACCCAACACTTGACACCCAACACTGGGGATTGCTGGGCACACATGGCCATGGGGCCACTGTGCATTCTCTGTAGTTATTCAGAATGTGGAAAGTTCAGTGGATAAGTGTGAAATCCTTTGCCTGAATTATCCTGGCTAATCCCATCCTTCCTCTGGAGACCAAGTGTCCAGCTTCTGGCATGAGGATGTTTTAGGGGAGTTGCACTGTGTTTTTGCATTCAGATAGGTCCCATGTAACATGACTCATGAGCATGAGGGCCCTGTGAGTGTCATTTGGAGATTGTGGGAAGTCAGAGTGCCTGATGGAAGGACCTCCCTCCCTTCCTTCCCACCCCCCACTGAACCTCTGGAGGAGCATTCCAGGACTGATCAAATACAGTGCATGTGTTGTCTGCTGCCATTCCATTGACCAGAAATTAGTCATGTGTCCTTGGGATCCACCACCAGAAAGGCTGAGATGGAGTCTTGATCTCAAGGGCTTTCTATGTCTCCAACTCCATATTGAAAGTTCTATTTGTTTTTCTTCTGACACATAGAAATTGGACATATTTATAGGGTACAATGTGATACTTCCATTCATGTATGTATTGTATAATGATCAAATCAAGGTAATTAATGTCCATCACTTTATTAATATCTCAGAACTACTCATGGTTTTAGTATCTTAAACTTTTCCCTTTCTTGTTGTGAGAACTTTGAAAGTTCTTTCCTCTAACTATCTGAAATACACAGTGTGTTACTGTTAACTATAGTCATCATGCTGTAGGAGCTCCCAGATGAATGAGGTCACACAGTGTTTGGCTTTTACATATGTATTATTACTGCATGTGAGTGTGTACCTGTGTGTGGTATGTGCTTACACACCACAGTGTATGTGGTGATCAGTCAGCAGCATTGGAAAGCTGGCTCTCTCCTTCTTCCTCTGTACAGTTCCTGGAGCTCTAACTCAGGTTGTCAGGCTCACAGGGCAAGCATCTTTACCCGGTGGGCCGTTCTTTAACCCCTGGTTTGCTCTTTTTAACAAATCAGATTGTTTTTGAGGTATTTTGTTTCTGGGTCTTTATAATTTTTATAGATGTTACTATTTTATTAGGCATATACTTTGCC